TATGTGGTATCTGAGAACCTCTTTTGATTGAGATGCTTTGAACTATTTTCAAAACGTATTTTGAGAACTTATGGTCAAATGATTGGTTTTGGTTATTCATAAAGGTATTGTATTTTTAATATTTTGTGCACGCTATAGTGTTTAGCAAATATTCATGTGGAGTTGGGTTTCGAAAGGTTAATGAAAACCATGTAAACAACCAGATATGACTTGGTTGATGTTTATTGTTGTATAACGCCCATGATTTCGAAAATGAGTTTCGAAAATTTTATACTGATTTTTGGAAAGTCCGGAATTTCTTTAAAATCAAAGTAGGGTGTTACAGTTTGGTATCAGAGCCAGTCTGCGTTTCTGTAGACTGGTACAGTATGTGATTATGTGTTTAGACCTTGTGTTACGACCACTCGTCTCCGTCACTCCGCGCTGCTTAAGGTATGTTTTGATTTAAGTACTTGTGATATAATTAATACACTTGTAGTAATGAAACTACTCGTGATGAACTTGTGAGTTACTTATTATCTATGGGGCTTAGGATCTATCCACCTTGAATTTATCGAACTCTAGTGTTTGTGGCGAACTCTAGACTTCTGATGTATTATTGTTTGTTTTTCTGTGCTAACTTTGCTCGGCTTATTCAATTTAGAAGTATGAATACTCGCCACCGTAATCGTCAGCCATCCCCATCTCCTTCTCCTCCTTGTCGTCAGCGCCAGGCCCCTCCGGCCATGGACCTCACTCAGCTGATCGTTCAGTTTCAGCGCATGAATGCGCCTACTTTCTCGGGGACGGAGAACCCCACAGCTGTGCTTGAGTGGATGAAGGAGCTGGACAAAATCTTTGTTGTTCTTCCCCTTCCCGACCGTCAGCGCGTGTCTCTTGCGGCATATCAGATGAAGGAAGACGCCTCAGACTGGTGGATTGAGCTTTGGGCTCGGAGGCCCGAGTCGGAGCTTCATGCTCTCACTTGGGAGCAAATGAAAGTAATGGTGCGCAGTAAGTTCCTCCCTCAGAGCTTTTGGGACAGGATGGAGCACGAATTCTATCACTTGCAGCAGGGCAGTTCTTCGGTGGATGAGTACATCCGCACTTTCACCCGTATGTGCCTTTTTGCGGGTGATGCGGTGAACACTGACGCTAAGAAGGCCCGGAAGTTTCTCAAGGGTCTCAACCAGAGAATTCGCGAACTAGTGGGAAGTCATGGACCGATGTCCTATGCTGATACTGTAAGCCGAGCCCAGGAGGTGGAGAGCTGTCTCATCCCGGTTATTCCTATCTCATCTTATTCTACTGCCTCTCAACCGTCTCAGACTGTGGTCCAGTATGCTCAGCCTATTTCCTCGGCACCGCCCGGCTCTAGTTCGGGTAAGAGAAAGGCAGATTCCCACCGGGATAACCGGAAGGGAAAGCGAGGAGGACCAGATCGGCGCAATCATCCCTCTTCTGGCAACCGCACCTGCAAGAAATGTGGCAAGTACCATAGTGGCGAGTGCTTAGCCGACCAGCGAGCCTGCTTCAACTGCAACCGTCCGGGCCATTATGCCAGTGTTTGTCCGGAGCCCAAGAAGCAACAGCAATTCCCTCAGCAGCAGCAGCAGCAGCAGCGTTTTCCTCAGCAGCAGCAGCTTCCCCCACCACCACCCCATCAGCAGCAGCAGCCCCCACCGTTCCAGCAGAGAGCTG